GAATCACGTGCTGAGTACCTGTTGCACACCAGGGTGCTGGGAACACAGCTGTAGACACGATGTGTTTCTAATGCAGAGTAGCGGGTCAGCACATGGATTGGGGAGTTCAGCTGCCCGGGTTCGCATCTGGCTCTGCCACTTCCTAACCTGGGCAGGTCACTTTTTTTCCTTTTTTGTTCCTTTTACTCAGTTTCCTCATCTGTAAAGTAGGGAAACCACAGCACCCATGTCCTAGAGCTGTTGGGAATTAGTGAACTCATGCAGATAAAATACTTGAAGCAGTCCCTGGTGCACAGAAAGTGCTAGAGAATGGCTCTTCCTCTTCCTCCTCAGTTTTCTGCCTGCCCTGAGGAGCCTCGTGGACCAGCCTGGTGCTGGGGGAGGTCAGTTCCAGCCCGGGCTTTCTCCAGAGCGATGACACCCCGCAAGGGAGTGATGGCCTTCCAGCGCCCGCCCAGGCGGGCCCACTTCTTGAATGGGCACTTGTCACCTCCTGGCCTTGCTGATTGTTCCCTGGTGACCTGGAGTTGGTTCTCTGCAGGGGAGCTCGGTAGCTGAGGCCTGATGGTGGGGAGGCCCTGTGAGGGCCTTGTTCACCCGGAACGGTCTGGCACCAGGCAGGCTTCAGACTTTAAAAAAGAATTTCAGGTCAAATATTGAAGCTGAAAGTGTTTTCTGATTGCCAGAGGCCGCCAGCTGTGCCTGGGTGTCCTTAGACAGATCCCTCCAGCTCTCTGAGCCTCTATTTCCTCATTTATCAAATAATGAGAAGAATAGTACCTACTTTATAGTTTTGTTTTTTTAAAAGGATTAACTGAGATGCTGCCTCTAAAGCACTTCGCTGTACTTGGCACATAGCAAAGTGATTAATAAATGTTGCCTGTTACTAATAATAATAATAATTCTCAGAAAACGTAAATGTAAATTTAAAAGCATTTGAAAGATTTCTTCTTGGGGGCTACAGTTCCTTAGAGATGTGAACTTGTCAATCTTCCACTAGCCCAATAGGACAAAGCATTGTTACAATGACTGGAGAGACACTGAGGCCCAGAGAAGTTTAGCTACTGTAGCAAAGTCACACAGTAATCCAGGGCAGGATCGGGAAGAGGGAACCAGAACTGGATTTTAGTCCATTGCTCTCTGATGGTTTGATAGTTACTCCTTCAGCAAATAGGGGTGATCAGCATTGACACATAGCTGAGCTCACATGGGCCTGCTTTTGGTCTGGTGGGGAAAATGAAATTTGTACATGATTATGATAAGAGGTAAAATAAAAATCACCTGTTCTATTCCGAGGAGAAGGAGAAAGAGTCATACATTCATTCATTTGGCGGGGGAGGTCGCATTCTGCCAGGCCTTAGAGCAGTGGTTCTCAGTTGGGGGCGATTTTGTTCCTCAGGGGACATTGGGTCAAGTTGGGAGACCTTTTTGGTTGTCTCAACTGGAAAGGTGCTGACATCTAGTGGGTAGAGGCTAGGGATGCTGTTAAACAGCCTGCGATGCAGAGGACAGCGCCCACCACAAATTATCTGGCCCCAAATGTCAACAGTGCTGCAGGGCTTAAGAAACTGCTCTGGAAACAGTAGTGGCCAAGCGGACCCTGCCCTGCCCCATCGAGGCTCACAGTCTAGTAGGTGAGCAGATGTGAAAGAAAGAATTGCACAGATGTGGGTTTAATTATACTTGTGTTGTGAGCTAAGGCAAAGTGCAGAGCGCAGGAAGAGGCTGTCCGTTCCACCGGGGAGGCCTTGGGGAGGCCATTCCAGGCAGAGGGCACAGCCCCAGCCGTGGCTCAGAGGCAGAACATCAAAAGGCATGTGTCTGGGGACGTGCCCCCTGTCGGGTTTCCGGAGGTGGGGAGGAGATAAAGGCCCAGAGAAGCCTCCCCTTTGCCTGGATTGAGGGAACTGCAACTCCTAGGGTGCCCTGCCCTGGGGGACTGGGCTGCGGGGACCTGCAGAAGCCTGGCGGGTGGGAGGGAGTGCTGCCCTCGCGGGGGCCCAGCCTCTGCCCTGCTTTTATTTGCATCCCTCTGATAGGTGGGAAAGAGAAGCAGGAAGAAAGAGAGAGAGAGAGAAGAGGAAGAACAATATTTTCATTTCAAACACAGATAGGGGTGGGGGAGGTGGGAAGGAATCCGGTTTAGGGTACCTTTGAGACAAGCACAGAAAATCCCCACTGTGGCCCGAAATAGCACGAAAAACAGACGTTTTGCCAAATCAGACTTAACTGAGTGACTCTCACTTCTTGAGTCCAGCAGGATGTGGATGGAGCTGGCTTTGCTCCCTTAGGGTGACATTGTCCCCTGGGGCCCCGGCCCTAGCTAGTTAAACCGAGAGGCCCTGGTCTCCCACAGGACAGGAGCCTAGTGAGCTCTACTTGGCGGCGCTTGGCCTCAGCTTGAGCGTCCAGAGGGCCAGAGATGGTGACTTGGGGGATGCCTGGCAGCATGGCCAGAGGGGTGAAAGCTGGACTGGGAGAGGCCTGGTTCCTTTAATAAGTGAGCCTGTCTCTTTGGATGTTGAAAGGGAACGTGGAGAAAAGCCATCATTTAATGAGTGCCTGCTATTGTTCTTGGCATTGGGCAGTCCTCTTTAAGCCTTATTAACTCCCTTATACAGATTATCAAGGAAACAGAAGCTCAGAGAGGTTAAGTGACTTGCTTGAGGTCACACAGCAATCAAGTGGCAGAGCTTAGATTGGAGACCACATTGACTGGGCTCCAAAACTAGAGCCTGCCTGCTCCTCACTCATCTCCTCGTGGCGGTCACCCATCCATTTGGCAGATAGTCACTGACTGTGAAATAATACTGCAACCTAGTAGGAAGTTTTTAGGGCTTGGAGTCAGACAGAAGTGAGCTTGAATTCTGACAGGGCAGTTTGTGTCCATGGCTGTCTCTCTTGGAGCCTCCTGTCATCTGTCAAGTGGGCAGAATCCTGCCTGTATCCTTGAGTTGCTGTAAGGGTTAAACTGTGCATGGAAGGGGACAGGAAGGGGAAGAGGGAGGCCCGGGAGGTTAGGACCTGCCCTGGGCCACCCAGTGTGGCAGGGCCCAATAAAAGAGTGGGCAGAGGGAAGCTGGAGAGATTGTGATATCTCTGTGCAGTATCAGTGTTGGGTTTCTTTATTTGAACGAGGAGAGAGGGCAGCCCCCACCCTGCAGGTAGAGAAGGTGGCATGGAATGTGGTGTTTATTTTTCTTTGCCTGTGAAAGTCCTGTTTCAGCTCAGGCTGATAGGGCTTCCTAAGATACTGCAGAGGGTGTCTGCCATGCAAGGGATCTTCCAGGTGCCTGCCCAGGGCGGGCCCTGCGAGGGCACCTCCCAAGTGAGGCCCCCAGTGCAGCCTGTAAGCCCTCATTCCAGAGCCTAGGATACCTGGGAAGGCCCAGAAAGAGTGAGGGGTGGGAGGGCCATGAAACTGGGCATCCCTCCGCTCCTTCAGCTCAGCCCTCCTGGCTCCATTCATCTCCTTATCTCCTGGCTGCCGGTGGGCAGCTGGGAGGTGGGGGGCAGCCTTCCTGAGGGAGAAACGAAACAAGGCTTGCTCACAAAAAGAGAGGGGCGGTTGGCTGGGTCTCTCTGGCTCCCCTCCCCCTGCCCCAGCCCCTGGCTGCGGGCTTCTCTCCTGCTCCACCCAGCTGGCACCCTACATTCTGAGGCAGGAGGGGGCTGCAAAGCCATTGTGGGTCAGGCTGCCTCAGCCAGGTGCTGGAGCACTGGGGAGGTGGATTTGAGGAACCATAGGGTCCCCGTGAGGCAGGCCCTGTTGGAATGGCGACCCCCTCCTTCCCTTCAGGGGGCGGGAAGCAGCTTGGAGAGGAAGCCAGGCCGGCAGGTAGCAGAGAAAGACATGGGATGGATTGGGGAGGGGTGGGGGGAGCCGGAGAGAGAGCAAACAAACAGGGCTTTGTGTGGCTGCAGATCGCTGTCTCGGAAGGGAAGCAAGCCTGGGGCAGGGGGAAGGGGAGCAGCAGACGAGAGGCCAGCGCATCGCTCTGGGCCAGAGATAGGCGGCTGGGCCAGCCCAGGCTGGGTGGCCAGGGAGCAGGGAGTGCCACTGTGTGGACAGGCGCCTGGAGTCACAGCCTGGCGGACTCCCAGCTTGCCACTTCCCTCAACAGATCTGGGCTTGTTTGCCCACCAAGCCAGGGCAGTCACTCGTGTGTAGGTCTCGGGGAGACAGGCATCTGGCCCGACTGGCCTGGCCCGGCCAGTATGACTCCCATATTCCTGTTCCCCGCCGCTGCTCGGAGGACTCGGTATCAGGGGCTCAGGGTCTCCCGGGGAGCGGCCAGCCCAGCTGGGTGTCCTGGGCGGGCAGGGACGGCTGCAGAGGTGCGGGCGCTTGGGGGCTGTGACGAGCCCTGCCGAGGGGCAGCGGACCCGCACGCCCAGGAGCAGCCTGGCGCAGCGGGCAGGGGCTGGCTCTCAGGCCCCGCACGGGGGGCGGAGCGCGCGGGCTGCGGAAGGGACAGGGCCGGGAAGACGGCGCCTTCGTGGGGAGCCGAGGGGCCGCCTTTGGGAGGCTCGGGTCTGGATGCTCGCGGGGCACGGCCGGCCCGCCCCGGCCTCCGGGAGAGGCTGCGGTGGGAGCTGTCCGGCCAGACGCGCGGGCAGCTCGGTGATCGCCTCCGGGCTCACTTCCTCCTCCCCGTGACCCGAGAGGGCAGGCGCCCGCGCTTCCTGCCGCCCGCGGCGCCCACCCCTTGGCCGCGCGGGGCCCTCCGCGGCCGACCAGACGGCCCGGCCGGGGCCGCGCGGGGGCCGGGGCCGCGCCCGTCGCCATGGCAGCGCCGTCCCGGCACGCTCCGCGGCCGCCGAGGCCCCGCCCCTCGCCGAGCCCGCCCTTCCCGGAAGCCGGGCGGTGGGTGGGGCTCCGGCGGCCGGGGGATGCGCGCGCTGCCGGGCCCTCCTGTGCCCCCGGGCCTGGGCGAGGGGCTGGGGGCCGGGGCGAGGCCCGGGGGTGCCCCTCCCGCAGCCGCCCCCCGGCCCGAGGGCGCGGCCGCCTTCCTGCAGCCTGCGCCCGCCGGCCCTGCTGCCGAGCAGCGCTGCCCCACGCGCCCTCCTCTTGTGCCTCGACTTCCCTACCGGTCCCTCGAGCGCCGCCTTCTTTCCCCGGTCTCTTCAGAGGCACCGACTCAGCTGACCTCTGTCCCCTCCTGCCTGGACTGGGCAGACAGCTACATTTAATGCTGAGCTTGGGGTCTTGGATGGGAGGCTCGGTGCCTGTCAGCAGCTGCCCTTTGGCCTCCCCCAGGGCACACGCGCGAGGAGAGTGAGAAGGGGCTTCGGCTGTAGCAGGAGAGACTCAGGCTGGATATCAAAAAGAACTTCCCAGTCCTAAGCGTTTTGTTTTTGATGAAATTATCAAATTAATAACATGTCCATTTTAGAAAAACCTAAAAATACAGGGAAACAAATCTCCTTTAATTCCACCCTTAGGACATAACCACTGTCCACATTTTTTCTCTAGACATAGATGAACAATATATGGTAAGTAAATATAAAATATAGAGTCATGCTATATGTTTTGTAAGGCACTTGGTGGTTTTAGTGGCTTTTTTTCTCACTATAAAAGGAGGACAGGTTTATTAGAGACTTCTGGAAAATATGATGTTAAAAGAAAAACAATTCACCCGTGCTTCCAGTCTGAAAGCAACCGGTTATGTTTGACTTCTTTGCCGCGTCCGTGGGGCTTGTTTAAGTATGCCGTCACTGCTGTGGATGCCATTGGATGTCCTGCTTTTCTCACTTAATGTTGTATAACATGCTCCTTCTTCCTGAGTCTCTGGGCGTCTTGAGGGAACTGGAACCACATTCTTGAGAGGGCTTCAGGAAAGAGCTGGACTGGATGGTGGCTTTCTGACTTTGTCCATCCTCTCCCCATCTTCAGACCCCCAGGAGCCCTTCCCCCTTGCCACTAACTTTGATAAGCAGTCTGGGCCAGGGGGTCCTGCTTGGTGGAGGCCAGGAGGCCACCCAGCCTGGACAGGGACGCTGAAGACTCATGGCCCCAGCTGAGATCCAGCCTCCAGCAGCGAGGGGCTTTAATGGGCCCCAGATGTGCAAGGCGGCAGCCCGGTCTCAAACTTCAGCCTCATCCAAGGCCTCCCTTGCACAGCCGTGCTCAGACCCAAAGACCCCTTGCTGGCCAGGTGATCCAGCTTCATACTCCCTCCCTACATCCTCAGAGCCGATTTCTACTGCCTTGGGCTCCTTAGCCTCTCCGGGGGCAGGCAGGCCTGGCACCAGGCGCAGCCTCCCTCTGCCCAGCTGCCCCTGAGGCCTAGCTCCAAGCTGCTTTCTCTTCTCTCCTCTTCCTGAACAGTTCGGTTCTAACACGTCCAAGCCCTGCGTGAAACAGGCCTTGGGAACTCACAGTTGCCAGGGATGGATTGGCATTTAAAAGCATCCAAGGCTTGAGGGAAAAAGCTGAAGAGATAAGAGAAGGCAGGGCCCTGTCCCTGAGCAGCAGCTGGATTTGGTGGATGGAAAATCACAGAATGCCCCTTTCCCGGGGAATGACATGCCTGGCGGAGGGGTGGCAGGTGGGGCACTAGACATCATGCCCCACTGACCACCACCTGCCCCCACCACTGTGTGCTCTCCGAAATGGGAAGATGTGGGAGGGATGTTGTGAGCCTACAGCCAATGGCCCTGTAAATTATATTCTCTTAACAGGTTTATTCATTTATAAAATATTTAAGACCCGTTTCACTTTACCTGTAGCAAGGAGGCAGCCAGGTTGGGCCTGAGATTGATGCTTTAAACATGATTTATTTATGTGGATTTGCTCTTTTCAGCTAGGAGCCACCTGCCATATGGGATTTAACCAGGTGGCAAGATGGGTGTGTGTCTGTGTGTGTTCCCAGGCTTGGGGCCTGTGGGTGTGCAGCATGTGTCTGTGTCCGTTTTTGGGGGGCGTGTTCTGTATGTGGAGGGGGTGATGCTCCTTGCATGGGTGCTGCACCTGGGCATGCGTGAGTCTCTCTGTGTTGGATTGCTGAGTATGTGCCTGTTTGTGTGATATGTGTGTATAGAGGGGGTATCTGTGTTTGTGACTAGGGACCAGTGTGTGGTTGTGTGTGTGTCTGGGTTGGGGAAATGAGCTGAGGGGGTGGGTTTGTCTGAGCATGTCTTGGGTGCTCATGTGTGTGGTGGTACCCGTGACACGGGGTGGGGGGGGGCGGGGCAGGCGCTCCTCTGAGTGTCTGTGTGTGTCCCACGTGAGGCCTGTTCCTGTGGGCGTGTGGAGTAGGAACTTTTATCAGTGGTGGAGGCAGTGGCCACTGGCTAATTGCTGGGCATTTACTTTTCCCCCTGGGTCCTGGGCACTGGGAGGAACTCGATGCCTGGCAAACCTGAGTTCTGTGACCCCGTGTGGTAGAGCCTTAGGCTCCAGGAAGGACTGGCTTTGGGGCCTGAAGGGACTCTGACAATCCCTGACCCTCTTCCAGCAAAACTGGGCCTTTCCTGCCTCGTGGCTCAGAACCACAGAGAACTCTCCTGTCAAGGTGTTCCAGGTGCCCATTTTACAGATGGGGAGAAACTGAGGTCAAGAGAGCACATAGCCTATTAGTGGCCAAGCCGGGACCCTAATGCCGAGCACAGCTCCTGCTCCAGTATCCTGCTCTGGGGCAGCCCTCCCTGGGCCTCACTTTCCCTTCTGCTGCACGAGGGTGGGTTCCCAGGTCCCTGTGCTCCCCTCACACGGAGCACCGGAACTGTAAGGGCCACGGCACAGGGGAGGCAGGCAGCAAGGACAGTAAGGAACGCTGGGAAGATCCCTGCTCTGGGCCCTGAGTCCTGGCCCTGGGGGCAACTCTGCACTTGGAGTGCTGTCTCTGTGCCTTCCCCTGCTGCAGCCCCTGGCCCACATGGGGCCCAGTGGCCTGGGAAGTGGCAGGCATTTGGTTTTCCTCAGCCTTGTGACAGCCCTCAGCTCCCCCCACCCCACCTTAGCGGCTAGTGCGTCTGTCACTACTTTCCTAATGAGGCTGCCGAGGGCCCCCTTGGGACAGATACCTTTGCAGGCCAGCCAGCAGCTGAGGGGGTGGGCTGGCCTCAGGGTCAGGTTGGGAAGAGGGAGGCTGAGCCCCTCTCCTGCCTGCAGGGACACCGAGGCCATCCAGGCCCCTGAGCCGGTGGGGGCGGGGAGGTGGGGCCGGAGGGCTTGGGAGGCAGGAAGGCCCACACCAGCAAGCATTTTCTCTCCCGCTGTGACTGTTTGTAGTAACAATACTCCCTCTGGTCGACAGATAGGTTTGCAGGCCTACTGTGTGCCAGGACTGAAATGAGCCACCATCTGGGTGTTTGTAATCTCTGCTCTTGGGGGTGTGGCCACAAGGGAAGGACGGTAATCAGGTAATCAAGTTACTCCCGTCTTATACCTTCCTGTATGGGAATGCACGTTCCTCGGGAGTCAGGACGGGCATGGCAAATACACTCAGAGCTCTTCTCATGGACAGAGGGAGTCCTGCCTAGGGGACTGTTCTAGGCGCTCACTAAAGGCTCAGCAAGGACTGAATGAGTCAGGGGACCCAGATGCTTGCTCTGTGGCCCCAGGCAACTGCCCACCTTCTCTGGGCTAGAAATTTCCTTCTCCATCAACTCTGAGTGGACTCAGGCAACCTGAGTCTCCTCTTGCAGTGCTCTTTGCTCTTCTTGCCACGGCCTGCGCACGACGTCTGTGGACCACAGCCTTGACTTTGGAATGCCTGAGGCACTGCCCCAGGGGATACCAAGGCAGCACAGCACAGCTGCCTCAGGCCCCACCTGCCATTTGATCTGGGCCCTGTGCTCTCACAGAGCCAACCCAGGGCCCAGGGAAGCCCCGAAGAGACGGAGCCTGCAAACGGTCCCCGTTCCCCGCCACTGTAGAGGGAGGCAGGTTTTCATGCACTCGTGTTCCTTTGCTCACCTCGTGCTTCTGGAGCACCTATTAATTGCCAGGTGTTAGACTGAGGTAGCAAACTGATTGTCCTCCTGCCACATTCTGCCCACAGACCCATTTTCGAAGGAAGAAACAAAAATCAAGTGAGTTGCCAGCGAGTAATCCTTGGGCAATTCCACACCCAATTCCCAGGTTACAGTTCATCTGGATTACTACAGCCTGCTTCCCCCAGGGCCACAATAGGTGGCGCGGGCTGCAGCTGACACCCCGTGGAGGTGGGATACACAGCCTCCACCTAGCCAGTCTCCACCCCTCCCTGGTAGCCCTTCCTGGCCGTGTCCCACGTAATAGTGTGGTTCCTGGTTATGAGCCCAGCCTGTGGAGCCACGCTGCCCAGGTTCAGATCTCATTGGCATTTTACCAGCCATGGGACCTCGGCTTCCTCCTCTGTAAAATGGGGATTACAGTAATAAGTACCCACTAGCTCCTGGGGTCGCTGGGGCTCGGGGTTAAGTGAGAGAATTTCTGCTAAGTGCTTAGAACGGGCTTAAGTGTTGGGTGCTGTTATTGACGTTGTGCTGAATAAAGGAACCGCTTGCAGGCTGAGACCTGGGTTCTAGCTCCCTTGTTTCAGGACCCTGTGTGAGTCACATGGCACCTCCAGGCCTCAGTTTATCCAGCTGTTTCTTTGAGAAAGAAACACCTGCCCTCTCTGCTTCTTCCCTCACCCTCCAAAGACTGTTCTTGGAACCTGGGCTGGGCCCCTGGGGTCAGGGCCAGGCAAACCCCCTTTCCTGGCAGGGCCCTTGCGAGCGAGGCTCCTATCCCTGGAGTCCCCAGGCTGGTGCCCCTCTGGCACTGGCCGCTGTCCCTGTGGGGTTACCGCCATGAAAGCTCTTCTCATTCTTACTCTAATGAGCTGCGTTAATGCTTCTGGGCCACAAACGAATGCCCAGGTTTTGTTGCACTGGCTGACTGGAGGCAGGGCACCGCGGAGGCAGCTGCACGCCCGCCCGCTCATCCTGCGGGTGCCTCCCACCCGACGTGGGAGAGGCTGGCGATGGCAGGTCATCGAATTAATTTGTTGCCCTGCCTCATAGAGCCCTGCTCTGCTGGCGGCCTCAGCGTTCCCTCCGGCCATGGCCGCTGCCCAGGGCCACCTCGGTGCAGGGCTGCCACCAGCCTGCAGGCACTAGGCCGTTTTTGGCTTGGCATTCAAGGCCCTTCAGGACCGGCTGCTGTCCACTGACCCCATGCCGCCCTGTTCTGCACCATCAATGGTGGTCGTGCGCTGTGTGCCAGGCACCCTAGAGGGCGTTCCACATGACCTCTCTGAGGCCCCCGGATGCCTCTCTCTCTGCCTTCCCTCCTTGCCTTTCAGAAGCTGTTCCGACTGCCTGGAACAAAGGCCCCTCTCTCCCCCTCCCTGAAATCCATCCCTGCCCGGTCCGGTCCCTGCATGCCACCTAGGGATGGCACAGGGATTGGGGGCTGCAGTGCTCCCCTGAGCCTCTGCCCAGGCTGGGGGCCCTGGGGGGAGTGGGGAAGGATGGGAACCTCAGGGAAACCTTGAGACTTGGGTGTTCTGTGTGGGACCTGC